AAACACAGACCTATTGGGTTAGGCTTCCAGGGATGGAACCTGTATTTGATGTTTGTAACAAGTTTCCCTGGGATTCTGGATGCTGACAGCTCCTGAGAACTGGTGATTTGGAAAAGCTGAGAACAAGCAGTCAACATGCTGTTATTGAAGGATTTAGACAAGCATTCTTCAATTACTAACATTTTATTCTAGAAACTTGTTTTATAAAATTAAATAAAATGAATTCCTATAATACACATAGAAATATAGGTGTATTTTTTAAAAATAAAAATGTTCTGAAAGGGCTTAGCGGGCATAATTGACGTGAAAATTAAAAATCTAAATGCTAGGGTGCCTAGGTGACTCAGTCAGTTAAGCATCCAATTCTTGATTTCAGCTCAAGTCTTAATCTCGGTGTGGTGAGTTCAAACCCCGCATTGGGCTCCACTCTGGGCATGGAGCCTACTTTAAAAAAACAAAAACAAAAAAACTAAATGCTACTGTTGATATAAATTACAGATAAAATCTGTGTGTCTCAATTAGCAAAAATTTAAAAAGATTCATTGAACATCTCTTATGGGCAAAGTGCTATACTTAGTATTTTCAGAAGCTACAAAATAACAAATAAATTAGTCTTCTTGCCGAAGGGCTTTAATCCAGTTGAGAGCCAAAAGAGTCACACCAGAAGAAGCTTAATAACTACCACAACTAAACACAAATAAAGATGTATTCCAGCTTTCCTCTGTGAGGAATACTATGGACCCAGTGCATTACTGTCTCACATCCTGGAATATAAGATGATGTCTCCTTCCTCTATTTATCCTTGATTCCTGACACTAGGTGCTATAAATACTAATTGCTGTAAGTTAAATTCAGTAGTAATATTTTTCAGAAGTTGAAACAAATTTAAAAAGTAAATTATAGCATAAATATTCTTTAGAGTTTCTTTCGCTAGTTTTTTCAGCATACAGTATGTTTCTTGCAACATACTATGCTTGCACAACGTAGGACAATATAAATAATATAGAGATAAATTGTATAAGGATGCCCCATTAATTTTTTTTTCCTTCAATAAGTTTATTGCACACCCTAGACTCCATATAGTTAGAATTTGTGTACAAGAAATAACCATAAAGACATAAAGCCCTCCTATTATGTGAAAATATTGGAGATCATTAAAAAAGAAAAAAACCTCTTGTTTACATTTCTTAAAACACACTTGAAGTATGTGCCTAGAGTTGATCCTATTAACCATAGGCACACAGAGCACATGAGGCAATCCTATGTTTTGTATCTGTGCAAAAATAGCTTTAAACAGAATTTAAATGTACTAGAACCCAAAGTTCTTCCAGATGTATGCTTTCACTGATTTCTCAAAAATTGCTTCCCCGTACCCTTTCACAGTACACTGACCACTTTATAAGATCCAGAGGCCACTTTGCACTTTTACGGAATCCATAGCATTTACTCATGCTGTCACTGTCATCAAAATAATGTTGTAAATATCCTCTCATCTTTCCATGCTATCTGGCTTATTTTTCCCCTAAGAGGCTTTGCAAGAGACTTTTTATATAGTTCTACAAATTCCTACTCCCATTAATGATTAAAAAAAAAACAAAAAAACAAGACAAAACTGGAGAAACATTCATTTAATCAGCTGTTTAAAAACATCATTTTTCCTCCAGGGGCTTCTATCCCTTTTGAATTAGATGGTGTTTATCAGGAAAATCTTTCTTAGTATATCTTTACTATGATTATATATCTTTCTCTTTATCTTCTTCTGGTTTTATTGAGACCTGATTTGGAGTGTTCTCAGAAGAATGTGACCCCTCTAAGTAGACTCATCATTTTCATTGAGAATTGGCCAACAGGGTATCTGTCACCTTCCCTTCTTCATGGCACAATGTTGGTATTGATTCTTAATGCTTCAGAACAAAGTACCAAAACCTAGCAGCTTAAAACAACATCTATTTGTTATCTCACAGTTTCCTTGGGTCAGGAGTCTGCTTGTGACGTAGCCAGGTCTTCTGCTCAAGGTCTCCCAAGGCTGCAAAATCAAGATATCAGTTGGGCTGTGGTCTCATTTGAAGGTTTGAATGGGAAGGGTCTGCTTCCAAAAGTGCTTAGGTTGTTGGCAGATATCATTTATTTGGGGTGGTAGGACTAAAGACCTGGAATTCGTACTGGTTATTGGCTGTCCTAGAGGCCACCCACAATTACTTGCCATGTGTGACTCTCCATAAGTATTTCAAAACATGGCAGCTTGCTTCTTCAAGGCCAGCAGGAGAGTCTCCCTGTGCATCTGCTAACAAGATAGGTCTGTGTGTGTGTGTGTGTGTGTGTGTGTGGTGTGTGTGTGTGTGTACATAATAACATAAACATGGGATTGATATCTTACCATCTTTGCCATTTTCTCAGAAGCAAGTCATAGGTCTCTCCCGCACTTAAGGAAAAGGGATTAGATGAGGGGATGAATACGAGGAGATGGGAATTATTGGGAGGGGGTCAAACTAGGGTCTGTCTACCATAATCCCATTGAACTAAAATACTCAGAGAGGGACTGTACTTAGATATGCATGCTTTTTATTATTCTTCTGGAGTCTAGTTGTTTTAAAAGAAGCGTGTAATTCTCTAAACAAATCAACTTTAGTTCTCTTGTATTAAAAAAATAAAAAAAGCCATATAAGCAATCTTGGGCAAGGCCTAGGAAGCTATAAGACCCAGAAGGGTAAAGAAGATAAGGAGGAGAGGGAAATAATGACTCAAGCACAGTCAGGAAACCAAAATTCCAAAAATTTAGGTATCCCAAGTTGATGGGGTTTTTTGGCTTATTTTATGATTGATTTTGCTTTGATTTTCCAACAATATTTGGAGCTACATGTGTTTCATCTGTCTGTATTCAAAGTTCGCCGTTATTGCTGATTTCAACAGTTCATAGAATTATCATCCTTCTTCTTCAGTCAATTCCCTTTGCACAACACCTAAATCCTCAGAAGAAGTAAGCCTGCTTTTGACTTCAGAGCTTGAATACTGGGATGTAGCTTGCCATCTGTCCTAAACTTTTCAAGTAACTTTTTGCCAAGACAAATGTGGATTATGGGCAACAACCTGGGACATTTCTGGTCTCAGAACAGGAAAAATAAAGGAACCCTTACCTATTAATTTAAGTACTTTGTTTGTTAGCAGTGTTTGTGTTGAATGAAAAATTGATCCTTAGTTGTGTAAGAAATAGAGAAGTGATCTGCATGCCAATGGCCAAGTATAGACTTCAGAGACTTAGCAGTTTTGAAACTGATATTTATGAACATCTGCTTTTTCCCCATAAATTTTAATATAGATTTCATCCTTTGAAACCTGCAAAACTTCTGGGTGCTTCTTCACTCTTTACCTTGGGAACATGCTTTTTAAAAAAAATGGTATTAAACGTTAGCAACAAAATGCTGTATTCAGCATGTTGAGCCTCCAAAATGTCCAATCCCAGAACACAAGCCATAATAGTCTTAATAAAGAGTGCTGAAAAGTATTTATTTCTAGTCCTAGTTTATGCCTTTCATTATTCCACAAATATTTATTTAATGCCTGCTTATGTGATAGGCATTTTTAGCGCTATCATAGCAGCCAATATAACAGAGAAAATCCCTGCCTCCATTGTGTTTATGTTCCAGTGAGTGTAAATGTTCTTTTAAAAGAATCCCCTTTAAATGTTCATAATACTTTCATATAGTTCATTGGAAAACTTTGCATTGGGCTTGCAAACCGATGCTGTTATTCCATTCCTGATGTTGGACTAGATTCTGGGGCTACAACTGTGAACAAAGTAGATGTCTATTCTCTCAAGGAGCTTAGAGTTTGGCATATTTCTCACCTCTGTCAAGAAAGGCAGACCTGGAAATGCAGACCTGGCAAACAGGAACTTTGGAGCAGGAACTAAGGAGCCACTTGCCCATTCTCTATTTTAGATCCATCATAAACTGCACACACAGTGCCTCCATCCCTGGGCTCTTGGGCTTACTAAGCACTGGTACTCTGGGTAGAAGATCTGAGTGTGTGGACCAGAGGAAAGGGAATAAAATCTCAACTCAACAGAGGACAAACACGTCAGTCAGGTGGGCACGTGTTAAGGCTAGCTGGCAAAGACATTAAATCCCTCTTAGGAAAGCAAGCTTTTAAGAGTGCGGTTCTGACCACCCTGTAGCAGAGGCTACAAGTCATTTACATAATAGGAAAGCCTCAGGAGGACAGTAGAGCTATTTAATTTGGTTAGGCTAATCGTATGCCATCCATTTACAGTGTAATGGAACCTCTCTCCTCTGCCTCTTAAACAGGAACACATTGGCATGATGCCACAGGGCACATAAGACAGGGATGATCTTCTTGGTGTGTCAATTCAACTCAGCTATTGGGAGGGGGAAAATTAATTAATTTACTGATAAGTAATTTAAGACATTATTTTCCATTAAAACCGATACAGCCATATCACGGAATATAATGCAAGATTTGCAGATGCTTTTAAGATAAAATGTAGAACTAAAACAGTGCCAGAGCCAAGGATTAAGCCCTCTCCCATATTTCCCATCAGTCCCCTGCAATGCCAACCTAACAAAAATAATTTTTTTGATATGGATATGCGATTTTCAATTTTATGCAAAGTGTAAATAAAAGACAAGCTCCCCAGCAGCATTCCTTTCAACCACACGGCCACGTGCCTACCCCTCCTTTTTAGAAATTCTGGAGATGCCATTAGATGCAGGAAAATGCTGGGCCACTTCAGGCCTCACCACCAACCCTGGGGCTCATGCTTACTGCCCTCCGCATTTCAGAGAACTCCCTCAGAAGGGTTTGAGGTGGCTGCTCTCATGCAGGATGGGCCCAGAGAGGTTTTCTCAATGCTCCCTCCTTGTCCTTAGCACTGAGTCTGAGCACTGGCCACCCTACTCCCATATCCCTTCTTTTAGTCCCAGAATGCTATGTAGCAGGCAGATCAGCTTATGAGTTCTTTGTGCTTTGTGTTCCTGGAACAGGATCTGGACCAGGTACAGCTCCATCTGGAAGAAGTGAGATTCTTTGATGTATTTGGCTTCAGCGAAGCAGCAGGAGCGTGGCAATGCTTCATGTGCAACAATCCTGAGAAAGCGACCGGTGAGAGACCCCTCCTGTCCACTTGCTGCTCAGAATCGCTTGTGCCCCTGGGATTCAGAGGGACCTCTGAACCCTGCTGTTCTAGTTGGCCTTCTTCTCACATCCTAAGTTGTAGTAATGCACAGAGGGATGCCTGATGACCTCTGCCTCATGCTGAGAAAAGTATCTCACCAAAGTGAGAGTGAGAGAAAGGGAAGACGTGGAAAGGGAGAGAGACATAAACCAGAAACGAGTGAAAGAAGCAACACCTTACCTATATGTAGTTATCAAGAAAGCAGTATTTTGCCCTGAAAGCATTCATTTCAGCCCAGATCACCCTGAGGGTTAGAGAAAAGCAAGCATCCTCTCAAAAGCCCCAAAGGAAGGAGACCACACCGAAGGAGTGAATGCATGCGCAAACCCAGTCATCTTGTGATCGTCCCTCACACTCCTGCTCCATAATGGAGCTATGTAAAAAGGGAAACATTTGAAGAGTGAGGAATTATTTGAGGAATACCTTCATAGCTATTATTCGCCCTCTCCCTCCCTTTCTGCTGCCCAAGGAATTTGGTCTACTGACCTTGCCTAAAAATAATAATTACTGGGGCGCCTGGGTGGCTCAGTCGTTAAGCATCTGCCTTCGGCTCAGGTCATGATCCCAAGGTCCTGGGATCGAGCCCCACATCGGGCTCCCTGCTCCACGGGAAGCCTGCTTCTCCCTCTCCCACTCCCCCTGCTTGTGTTCCCTCTCTCACTGTGTCTCTCTCTGTCAAATAAATAAAATATTAAAAAATAATAATTATTATTAGTGAATATGAGCCATGCACTATGCTAAACATGTCAGATATATCTCATTAACCTTTACAATGATCTTACTCAGGTTGGTACTAATATTATCTCCATTTTACTGATGGGGAAACTGAGGTCCAGAACAATTTGATTAACTGAGGTCACACAGGTAATAAATTAACAACAGCAGGATTTGAACCCAATCTGACTCCAGGGCCCATGCTTTTAACCATTCCACCACTCTGCCTCCTCGTTACCCTTGTCCCAATCTGACCAGTGGAATTAGGTTAACAAGTCTGTCTTCAGAAAGTTCCTCTGTCCTTGGAAATGGAATATTTCATCACTCATTTGCCTTCTGAGAGGCCCCAGAGTTCTCAACATGGACGCTGCTCAGGAAGTGCAGTTTCAACCAAGAGAACCTTGTTCAAACCCTGTTGAGCACAAAGCCACCTCGTAGGCGAGCCATTCTCTAGAGAGCCGCAGATGACACCCCCCTGTACCCGTTCCTTTTATTTTAGGATTTTGGGGCCTCTTAAAAATTACCCATTGTGGTAAGTCTATTGTCATGCTAACTGCCAAGAAGGTAAGGCTGACTGGAAAAAGGTGTGTTTATTTGGCCAGGTGGAAGTGAGAGGGGCACATGGAGAGGCACCAATTAAAGTGTCTTACCCCACGGAGAAGGTGGGGCAAAAAGAAGCTGGCAGTGAGGGATGGCGGCCTCTGAGAGGCACAGATTGCTGGCTGAAGACAGAGTGAACACCCCGATTTTAAAAAGTTAATTTGAGCAAATCAGGAATTGGGGAATTGGAAGTCTCCATTATAAAACTTTCTAATTAAGCCTTATTTCACCTATGAAAAAGACAGTGTGAAAGAAACTTTATTTGAGAGCCTGGCGAAGTAAAGCACCTATCTCAGAGCACTGAGAGACCCTTAAGAATTCTCATTTCAAGTCAGCTGAGTCCTTAGTTCAATAAACATTTCATCCTTTCTGGCCAATGGAGGCCTCAGACAAGGGGCTGGAAGTTAAAAGCACAAAGCGTTCCTTTAATATATGTTTTCTCAAATTTGCTCCCATACACTTGAAAAGAACATTTTGCAATTTACTCTTTCTTACTTGTGTTTCTCACAGTTAAATACAGACTGAGAACATACAGCAATAAAGATTCAAACAAGGCCAAATATTTTATAGCAGAACATATTCAATCAAAATGCTTGGCCCTGAAAACTTCAGTGTACTTAGATTTCTTTGCTCATTTCCTTCTGCTACATGAAAGGGGATGCAAGTCTGCAAGAAATCCTATTTTAAACTGTTAATTGTCCCCAAAAACTCTTGATTCCCTGAAAAACTTATGGAGGTTGTTGATCTCATCTTGTTTTTATATAAGCATATAAATTATATATTTCATATAAGGGAAAGGTCTAACATAATACTGCTGACACATTATTCATGGAGACAATGTCTGCATTCATGTTCTTAAATTTTGAGTTTAAATATGATCAAGGAATAAATAGGAATAAATATTTTATTATTTGGTTACGCACAACAAGCATAGTATCTGCATCCCACGGTTCATTTACGTAATGTATGTTTGTTGCATTGGTTGAAGGTCTTCTACAGGCTGAGGCTTGGGATAAAATATGAGTAAGCTGCAATATCTCTGCTCTGAAAGGATTCATAATCCAGTTAGGGCCAGACGGCATATATGGAAAAGTCTAGCACACACCCTTGTATGTTTATAGCAGGCAATGAATACTTGCTGAGTGAGTGAATGAATGAATAATATTTGGGAATGGCAAAATCAAATATGCCTCGAATGTTAAAATAAGATGTTTCAAGACTGTGATTATGTGTTAATCAAATCAAATATATCACTATACCACACCCAGTGCATTGTGAATCTGGTAAATGGATGTTGGTGCTTCTTTCCTCCTTGAGAGAAGTCACTATATATAAAACAAATGGCCCACTTCCCTAACTTAGCACCTGACGTACTGTGCCTGAGTCTTGTTACCATTCTGGGTTTTAATCAGTGCTCCCATAGGATCCAGATGCCCCTCACAAGGTTTAGTCTCAGAGAGGAGGGGTTTAAAGAAGCCGGACTGGAGTCTGAGACAAAAGAAATTTTAAAAATGGATTTGGGTGTTTGTTTTTTAAGTACTGACAAATGATACAACAACTGCTGTCAAGTATTCATTGTTCCAATATAAAATAAAAGATGCCGTTCAACATCTCCATAAATGAGGAATAAAACATGAGGCATTTAGAAAATTTCAATTAGACATCAGGAAAGACATCCTAAAATATAAATCCTTCTTAACAGTATGTACCCTAAACTATGGGACTCGTTCAGAAATTGACAGCAAATCATCCGGTTTACACAGTCACCTAAGTACATTCCCTTCTTCAGTCAAAGTCTTATCACCCACCAACATCCCTATCAATACACAGAAATTCACAGGCATTTAGTATCTAGTAGTCAGTAAAATACACTTTGAATCCAGTTAGGTACAGATGAACTCAGAGGAAAATGAATGCTAGAATAGTCTAAAGGTCCTAAAATTATTATAATTACTGTTGTTTATCATGCTAACTCTGAGCTAAACATTTTTCTCATTATTATTGACTCCATTTTACAGATGAGGAGACTGAAACACAAAGAGGTTAAGTAATTTTCCCAAGGTCACACAGCTACCAAGGGGGTAGAACCAAGATTTAATGCAGATTAATTCCTGAATCTGAAATTTCCACCTCTTGGGCAAATCCAAATTAAGGACATGGACTATTTGAAATTCTAAGACCAATTATTCCACAATGTTATAATATCTACCTCCCTGCTTATTCCATTTAAGGAAGAACAGGGGCTTTGGTAGGATCATGTATGGGAAATGATTACGTGAGGGAAATGGTTACAGTGAGAGCTATTTCCAATCTCTCCAATTGTTGATTCCGTTTCTGATAATCATTTTATAAAAGTACAGAGTAGAAGATTAGCAAATCACTGAAGTAACACAGGAATCCTCTGAGATTTGTCTGGTGGTGTTTATTGCCAATCCCATTACTCCACATGAATGAGAGAATCGAGATTGAGCAAGCGAGTAGAACAGAACAGAACTTCCTTCTGGAAAACCAAGCAAATCCCTTTTATCAGTTGGCCTCCTGTCTTGGAACTGCTAGTTCACATTAGCAGTAACAGTGAGTCAGCTGGACCATCCTGGAACGCATCTGGCTCTCTGTTCAGTCACATTTGTCAAAAGGAGGAGGAAGAACGAGGTCGTGACTTTCACTCTCATTTCTTCAGACACATGGGATGCCTTTGTGCTTACACCCTACAAAAAATAACTTAGAGACATCTCAGTTTTGGCACCGGGGTCCTCCTCTGTAAATCCGAGCACTCCCCCGTGTGATTGCTCTCTTAGTCACTAGTTATTTAGTTGTTGAATGTGGCTGTCAGCAGGAGGTCTCCTTAGCATATGAAAGAAAATGAAAGCATGTTTTTCTTCAGACGAACTTCTGTCAGGATTGTTTTTTAGAACTTGATTTCAAATATCTGTGCTATAAAAGCATGCTGTCCATTTTATCACATGGGCAAATAGAGATGGTTTCAAAATGGTATCAAGTCAAGAAAGGCCTCTGTAAGGAGATTTTCTTCACACCCTGATGACTAACTGGCCCTCGTTTGCTGGACACCTTCAGTGTGGGCTGGATAACTCTCCCCTCCAGATACCAATGTGAGAACAGGCCCAATGGCCTCTGAGGACACAACCCAGAGGCTGCAAATAGTTTTGTGAGTCCATTAAATGAAACTTTTCCGTTGAATTTCGTTGTCGGCTTTCACAGTACTTTGGAGGTAACAAAAAGAAAACCCCATTTTGGATTTATGTGGTGGCTAGGTTTGTCGTGTGAGGCCTTCCCTCCTATTACATATGTTCGAACATTGTCTTATGTGCTCAGTGTTGTTAGAGCACCAAAAGCAGTACGGTGCTTGTGTTCATATTTATATACTGCTAGTGACTACTGAATATGCATTCCTTATGTAAAATGGAACCCCAGCTTGTTGTGCAAAGATACTCTCATTAATGACAAAATAAAGACACATATATTGACTCAGATAAATCATTATCCTGAAATCATTTTCCTTTCCCCATCTTCCCATTTTCCTGTTTTATGCCTTTCTGGCATGGGCATGCCTCTCTCTTTTAAACCTTCCCACACACTCACATCTCTCTCTCAC